TCAGTCGATTTTGACGAAAAAGTTGCTGTAACATCCCTAGCATATAAGAACCTTAAATATGCAATTTCACTTTTATACGACTTTTCGTTTTTGAGCTGGACTGTTAACACACACACAGACCATTTTGCGGAACTTGGTTATTCGGACTCAGGGGACCTCAAAACGTGTATTTCCGTTGAAAACTCAGATTCAAAAATCGCAGTACTTACCCTTACTATTTATTAAATATATAGGTAAGTGAAAGTAAAAAAGTATTACAACGAAATAATATAATGTATTAAATGAGTCATAATTATAGCTATAAATAGACACAATAAATTAGGCCTTTCATTACTTTCTTACTCATAGATATTCTTTCATTTTTTAGATACTATTTTATGCTTTTTATCACAAATCTTTTATAATTATAAAGGGTGTTACAGGATTAAGTGGTGGAACTGCAAAAATGAACTAAGGACCTCAAAACAAGATAAACGTTTCCTCTGAGGGTATGTCCGCAAATACCAATGTATTTGTTCTAACTACATTATTAATTAAATGTCAACATTAACATTCATTTTAAATGTTGTCCAAAGTGAATTCCTTGAATATTAAGACAGGCTTGCCATCTTTCTTCAACAGCAGCAGTGGTAGGACGGAACTGGATATATGTTATTGTTTCACAAATTTCAATTATCTTGCTTCTTAAGGAATTAAGGTCATTGACCGGACTTGCATAGAGTTTTTGTTTAATGTCACTCCAAACAAAAAAAATCAGTGGTATCAGGTCTGGAGAGCATGCAGGTCAATCCATTGATTGGGATTTGGGATATGATGGAGCAAGTCCGATCAATGACCTTAATTCCTTACAAAGAAGGATAATTGAATCTTTTGAAACAATAACACATATCCAGTGCCGTTCTGCCACTGCTGATGCTGAAGAAACATGCCGAGCCTGTCTTAATGCTCGAGAAAATCACTTAGAACAACATTTAGAATAGAATAGAATAGAAAATAGACCTTTATTCTAGGACTAAGTCCCCTTAGAATAACAAAGATGAATTAATACAAAATAAAATACCAATCTGGCCAAAAACTAACTTAAAAAAATTCTAACATAATATACATTATTTAAAAAGTAGTATGTAACCACTAAGAAATAAACAAAAAAAATATACACATATATATAAGATAAAGACCGGAGACTGGCGATATCAGCCTTAATACCATCTTGTAATGTAAATAAACACAACAACTGTATATAAGGCAGATTATTGAACGAATAAAGCAGTGTTTATTCAGAAGCCGTGAGTGTTGTTTCTCGATCCTTTTTCTTTCTTTTTTTTTATTTTTGAAGCCGCCGACGCTTAACTTATAAACACACGCACATATATATTCATTCACACACATACACATATATATACATACATACACATACATACATATACATACATATATAAATGAACATACTGTCTTCTCCAAATTTACTTATTATTACGATAAAAAAAAAAAAAAAGACAGAAAAGAAATTACATAACTATATATACATAACTGCACAATTTATAAATAATAGGCTATCTAATAGAAACATAATTTAATACAAAATGTAATAATATTTACAGTGATTCATAAAATAATAAGCAAACATTAAGATAAAATAAAATCTCAGGAATAATTGTGGTATAAAGGTAAAAAAGGAACTATATATATGTACTTACTCATATTGCTACACAGTGAGACAAAAAGTATAAAATATAAACTTATATACATGAAAGAAAATGCACAACCTGAGGTGAAGAGAAATACAAATAAATAGTAAAAATAATAGTCAAAAATCATTGCTGTTTTATGTTAAAACTTAATATGTAGGCACCACCATTTACTTCTCACAAATTCAGTTCATAAAATGAAATTTATGGTTGCGAATCGTCTGTTTGGGATGTGAGGAGATATTGGAAAAGGAGGTATTTGAAGGTTGACAGTGAAGAGGCATGACGGATGTTATGTAGCAAAGAATTCCAATAGGTGACGGAGCGGGCTAAGAAGGAACGTTCATAGGTTTTTGTCTTGTGTGATGGAATATAGAGGTCAGAATCACGGGATCTCGTTTTTATTGAGTGGACTAAAGGTTTCGGCTTGAGGAGACAGTAGATATAGGAAGGGTGCTGAGAGTTGATCGTTTGATATAAGAAATTTCCAAGGAAGTATAGGCGGCGGGAAGAGGGGAAGAGCCACTTTGACTCGGAATATAGGTGGGACACATGAGACCATCTCGAAGTGCCGAAGACAAATCTTAAAAAACAGTTCATGATTCTCTTCAGTCTGTCCTCAAGCTCCAACGAGAGGCCACCGTATACCACACAGCCATAGTCAAAGTAGGGGAAAATCAATGAGGAAACGAGGAGCCTGCGGATAGGTTGTGGGAGATGCTGACGAGAACGATGAAATAATTTAAGAGTACCAATTGACCTTCTGGAGATTTGAGCAATATGGGGTTTCCATGATAGGTTTTGATCTATGGTAATTCCTAAGTTTTTTACAGAGGAGGTGA